ACACCCCGTTCCCCAGTCAATGTATCCATTACAATCCTACAAACATTCGGCCGTAAGCTCGAATAGCTACATGGTATATACATAGTACTGGTTATATCTGGATGATATATACACACGCTACAAAATTCCTGTCATACTAAAGTGTTTAAAGGGTAGAAAAACAATACTGGTAAAATCAAGGGTAGTTGTTTGTTGTTAATACTCATTACATGGTAATGATTGGAAGTGAAGTGAAATTTTTGATTGGGGCAACATTCAAACCAGAGGACTCAGTCATCACACATTGCATCAATATAATCGTGTCTGAAAAGGTTGTCATGGATTCATCAAATAAATTCATAGTGTCAGCTATTCTTAATAAAACAACAGTCGTGTAGATATTTATTATTATTATCGTTCTCTCAGTTTCCGAGTGGAACACAGGTATTCAACAACACATCTATACTTTCTCCTATTTCTTGGTCTCCACTTCTGTCGCATCCAAGATTGTTCATAATCTCTCATCTCTTCCCTCACGATCGGCTCCATGTCATCCTCGAAGTGACGAATGGAATTCACATTTGAATCAGAAAATGAACAAGGAGAATTAGCTATGTTAGATTGTAAGATAAAAAGAATAGAAGAGGGTAGACTGCACACCAGTGTTCATAAAAAACCAACTCACTCTAATAGATATTTAGACTATAATTCATCTCATCTGTTGTCTGTAAAGGCAGGTTTAGTTAAGTATCTAACAGACAGAACAACAGCACTAAGTAGTACAACAAAAAGCCCAAACGATGAAATGAGACAGATAAAAGAAGTGTTGATATCAAATAACTATTCTATAAAATTCATTAAGAAGATCAGAAAAGGCCAAAAGCAAAATAAAAATAATTGTGAAACTAGTAATGATAACATAAATAAGAGAGAATATGAGGCGTCTACAGTAGTTTAACCATATAACGAGGGAAAGGATATCTGAAAACCTACGTAGGTTTCTGAATAAAGCAGGAATTAGAGTGACGTTTAAAACTACAAACTCACTCAGGTAGGACAAGCTGTGTAGGTTAAAGAACCGTGTCGGTTGACCCAATTAGACAAAATAATATAATTTACAAAATATTTTGCAATGGTTGTGAATGAGGTCAACTACATAGGTCAAACTAGTAAATTGGGGGATAGCTACATTATCAGAACATAAGAATTTAGTTAAGGTGAGAATGGTTGACCCCGAGAAGATGAGTAATTCAGAAAACAGCTCAGCACTATATTGCATTGCATGCATTAACACGTAACCACACAATAGGGTGGAAGAGGGTTAAAATTCTAAGAAGTAATATAGGTAGGTGGAGAGATAGAGAGCGAGAGGGATTGATTACTGAATCCTTGTTCATTGAGTCCACACCCAACACAAAACGTGGAATAGGAATGACTCATCACTCATACCCGAAATATGAAAAACACTACTGTCAATCAAGTCAAGCGATGAAAAATAATGGAATGGTATAAACGAAGTTAGAAATTTGCGTGAGTGACTTGATATGATTATGAGCTGTAATAAATTGTGCTCGAAACGTGGTCATCAGTAAATACTACCGTATAACACTGTGATACTTTATGAAGAAAAATTTTACTCATAATGGAATTATACTTTACGATAGTGCACAAGTTTCATTCTTATATCAATGACACCAATCCAGTTGCTTTGAGCTACGTATAGAGGTGTAGGGTGCTTACATGGTTTCCTAGGGTATGCTAAGAATCGGTGTCTGGAGGTAGTTGGTGACATGTCTCATAACCGTTCACGTTGGCGTAAACGTTGTATTTACTTCAAGTTATCTTCCAAAAACTCTGAGAATCTACACTATCTGTCCTCTCATATCCAAACATTTATACATTTTTTTACATTTTATGAAGTGTGGTGACTTGAACTGATGCATTTTTATACAATGTTCTAGCGTTGATAATAAAGTTCAGTTCAGTTAGAAGATATTTACAAATGCATTAACTATATGAACCACCTATAATCATCAGTATTATCACTGTAATACCTGATAGGCACGGGAAGAACACATATCAAGAAGACATTTGCAGATACACTTAAACAGATGAATTCAAAGTGTTTTTTGATCACTAATTTTAATGCTAGATTGGAGAAATGAATCAAAAAAAAAAAAAACAGCAATGTTATTATGAATACTACTACTTAACTGAATGACTATTTTGATACAAAAGGGTGGTTGACAATCCTTCCCTTTCCGAACTTAATATAGAGCTAAAAGTTTGAGTGATAAAGTTTTAATAGCAGTTGTGTGTTGTGTTTAAGGGGCAATGTTGATAGTCCCTAGCCTAAACTTCTCTCATTACCAGGTAACTGGATAAGTATGTGACTTAACAACTGAACCTGGATCAAGTACGTGTTTAGCGTTTATTCTAACTCTTACAGTTAACAATAATAATTCAGAAAAAATAAAATAAAAACAATAAATACTAAAAGTAATCTATCAATCAGAGTATATTCATAAAAGATGCATTGAAGTTTAAATGTATGATGATTACAAAACCCCTTTTTTATTTGTCTAGTATACAAAAGGGAAAAAAGTCAGTAAGTAGACAGTCAAAAGTGCATCAAAATGGCAGTTGTCTACACTTAGGCTAATCAGTGAGCAATACAAAAAGTTCATTAAGTTAATCGAGAATAGATTCATACTGACTTCCTTTCGATTTAAAAACTCAAATGCACTTTATGAATAAATTAAATATGAAGAACTGTGAGGCTTTCTGTATATACTCAGAACAAATTTACATTTACAACAAAAATAGGGTTTTAGTAAGTGCAGTTATCAGACGTCTAGCAGACATATAACATAACAAATCAAAATCACTCAGGCTTTTAACATGATGAATATATACACAGGAAACTGTGTTAACTTCATATTTTCCTGGTAACTTTCATCCACTGAGTGAAAACCGTTGGTAAACATTCCGAGCTATCATTATCACATCAATTTTATCTCATGCATTCAACTATCGCTTTTACCTTCATAACTCTCTTAAGATTTCTGCCGTATTATTTATAAGTATGTACACTAAGTTATATTCATGTTTCTTAACCCATCAATTTACTGCAAAATTATGGACTAATTTGTATTAACCTCGTCTAGTTTACTTGTCGGTTCTAAACCGGAAAAAAACGAGGAGAGGTTAAGCGTAGGGCTAACGAACTCACTCACTCCTGAAAATTAATCTAATCGCTACTTTTTTTACACTAAAACAGGTATAATGAATCTTTCAAACTAGTATTTATCTAATCTCACCTCCACCCACATGTATCAGTTTATATAAATGTACGTGACTGAACGTACCGGAAAAAATTTTAGTGGGTCGTTAATTATCCAAGTATGAGACGCCAAATTTCAAGTGATTCACAAACGAAAAAGTCAACGATATCTTTTAAGTGAACATATGAATAAGACAGGACTGCCTACTATCACCGATAATATTCCTGAATGTGGCGGGCAGGATAAGGACAGGAAAACGTTAGACCCGTAAGAAGACTATTGAAGATCTGGACTTTGCCGATGACTTATATCTAATGACACATAAACTTGAGGACTCGCAGGCGGAAACCAAGAAACTGGCAGAAGAGGCTTGCTTCAAAGACAGGACTCCACGTAAACATAGAGGAGGTGGAAGTGATGCAAATAACCAACGAATCACAACAAGCACCAGTCACAATCAGCGGAATAAATTTGAAAGAGATGACTTCCTACATTTATATAGGTAATGTCGATTGAACTACAGGCACGCCAGACGGATGAGTATGTCAAAACCCGAATCGGGAAAACAAGACAGACCTTTAACACTCTGACGTCAGTATGGATGTCCTCTGCACTCTACAGCATAAAGAACTGTAATACTAGGTCAATTCTTCAATATGGGTTGGAAATATGACATGTCATAAAACACATTTCCAACAGGTTGGAGAGAGACTTTTATCAACAGCTTCTTTCGCTGGCTCCATACTGAAGATAAAGCGGTCTGGTAGAAAGAATTAGCAACAAGAATTTTTGGGAGGGAACCTATCAAGAATCTGTTGCTTAATATATGTGTCTAAGAAAATGAAGATGGACTGGGCACACGCTGAACAGCCCATCAAATGATATTGCGAGCGCCAGACAACTGCTGAAATACAACCCGAGTGGGAAACGATGGGTTTATTGTGTGTCCAACAGTAACATAGAGGAGGTCGTGTGAGAAGGATGTGAAAGCGTATAGGCAATCGTGATGCCAGTTGAAGAGGACTGCCGAGAACAAAACAAAACTGAGATGTACTGTTGAAGCCCTATGTTCCACTCGTAAATCAAAGGAATGATCATAATAATATATGAGAATTTGAAGCAGCCAAATATGTCAGCAACAAATAGAAAACCAATCAAAAATACTTTAAAACTTAACACTAGCTAGCTGAAGACAAAACACTGAAAGGAGAAACTTGAATACCTAATATATAATTCAGGAAAACTTGAAACCGTTAGTGAGTATAAAGCATCCGTATGTTGTAAGACTGTTCAAGTTCGTAAAGCCTGAAGTACAATTCAGCTATGATTTAACAAACGTATCTGAATAACTCCCGTGCTGGATATTTACAGTTTTATTTGTGAAGTAACTACTAATTTTTAGCGCGCTTTTATAAAATCATCTCTATTTAATGAAATGTTAAGCTTCAAGCGATAATACAAATATTCATCAGTAAAAATATACATTGGTGGCACAGCGGTTAGGACGCTCGCCAACTATGCACATGCTCCGGGGTTCGATCCCCGGCCGACGCACACCCGATATCAATGATCAGCCTGCTAAATTTCGGTGACCGATATCACGTGCTGAAAATTCCATACTTGTATCAAAAATACTGGGTGGAGTCATGCTACAATTAAAATTTAAAAAATTAAAATAACTCTACAAAATTTTAATCATCAGGGTTAACAAAACAATGATTGTTTGTGTCAACTTACTTGAGTATATACAAGTGGTGGGTTAACCCAATCATAACTAAATATTGTACCTAATTTACCACGAAATCCTGTTATCTCAGTGGTTAGAATTTCAACAGCTCTATCAAAATGAATATATCCTTCTTCACGAGCTTTTGTTATCATGTCTAGTGCCCAGACAAGTGGGACAAAATATAAAGTGTAATTAGACGGCTGAGTATTACGATAAATATCCAACTCTTCTTGCGTCATTAGACCTAAATAAATAAAAAGAGAATAAAAGAAGTAGCTGAGGGGATATATGTATCACCTGGCAAAAAACCTATTTTAGTAGGTGGTGTAAGTACTTAACAAAGTCAGATTTCTCTTGTATTTACTATAGATGTTCTCGTCAAGAAGATGTATCAAGTGCATCTTCAAAATGAGTTCAGCCTGTAAGAAGAGCCCGTCATTGTCATTTTCGTCTTGGCGTTTACATATGAGAGTTACTCGATTTAAACTTATCTGTTAATAAAGGCTTTTTTCAACAATTAGTTTTTAGGGATTCTATTTGTTTCAGGTAAGACGACGGACTGATATCAGTTAGAAAACCATTGAAAACCACCAAGGAGTACTGAGCAGCTGTTTCGTCCCAGTTTGAGACCAATCGGCAGTACGCACTCACTGGGGTTCGAACCCAGGACCCTTCAGTTACAGGATGAAGTTGCCTGGAGTTCTAGTGAGAAGTCGTGACCGGCGGGGTCCATCCAGTTGGGAGTGAGGTTGGAGTTCCCGCCGATGAAATTGATCGCGTTAAAGTCACGAAATGGCAGAAGTAGAAATTCATGGACCACTGAATCGGGTCCCAGCGGTTGAATGGTCCATGAGATCGCCTTGCAGCCGGGAGGTAGTGAGTGCCTACTGACTATGAACCCCAAACTAGGACGAAACAGCTGCCCAATACTCCATGGTGGTTTTCGATGGCTCTCTAACTGATATGAATCCGTGGTATAACCTGAAATAAAGGCTTTATTTGTATGATGTGATATATTTCCAAATTAAGTGTCGTGTAAGGTTGCATAAGTAGCAAAATATTTCAGATTCCTCTTCCGTCAAATCAAGTGATCACTATTTTGGACCATATGCGGTTCATTGCACATTAATGTTACACTTCTGCAAAACGTTTTAGAGTATAATGCTCAGGAAACATTTTCAAATAATTCCATTTTATGCATACATATGTACGATATACATTTAAGGCATTTCGGTATATATACATATTTGAGGACTGGTGACGGGTGGAAAGATGATCGTAAACAAAGTTATATCTTGAAAGTATTCTATCTTCCATTTCATTGTTACCTTTCTCGTTGATCTGAATTATTTATGTTCGGAAAGAGTCTTCATTTGTCTGTATTCCTGATATTATATTCAATAACGTTATAGGTTTAATCGTCGAATATTATATACGAAATTGCTGAAAAGCAGTTATAAGAATACGAATGTATATCCTACGATTAGTAAGCCAAACTGGAGTACGATTTCATCCAGTTATTCAAGATCCATGAAATAATTCAATTTATTCATGAGAAATCGAAGTGAAAAAGTATTGAACCACTGGGGAGCGGTGTGCAGTGGGTATGAGAGGTGTTCACTCACCCACGAACGATTTACTGCAAGGACAGGAAGACTTGTGTGTGTGACCACATCACTGTTCGATCAATCCCTCTGTTGGCTTCTAGCAGTCTACTACAAAGACGCTATTCAATATTCTTGATAAATAACTTTATTCATAGCTCTACTTGAGCTACATGCTCCGAAATTTTTACACGAATTCGGGGAATGAATCAATGACTAATACAAATAGTCCTAATAACAGTCATAGTGAATTGTACACTAGTTTTTGAAAAAAAAACACCATCGTCTGAGAAATTCATTCCAACGGTCCTGAACCACTGCTATGAGTACGTCAATACTAAACCATAAGTCAAATGATTTCCATCATTCAGTGATCACAGATAATAATGATATGATATCTAATAAAATAAGGATTTTCTGTCTATCCACCCCTCAGATAAAGGTATGGGTAATATTCGCACAAATAATCAAGAATCCAATAATAAATTAGTGTTCATTATATCACATGAAGACAACTTTTTTTAGAAGCAACTATCCAGAAACACACAAATGAACAAGTAGAACGAAAAGTTACATTGTCGAAGAGACTAGGAGTAAATCTTTTATTAGCTCCGAATCACTTGGATGATTATAGCAATTTATGCATAAAATCTGCATACTGTGTGAATAATTCACCAAACGGCTCATGGAAACCACCTCAATAACTACAGTACACATCTGATTCGTTTAACTTCGTTAAGTCAACACACAATGTGAATTTATTTGGAATGATATTTCTAGATGTCACTGTTTTTCTTTAATATTGTCCTTCTTAACGAGGAATCATCCGCTTTCTATGTAACTTCTTCAGTGATAGAGAGGCTGATTTGGTTTATCCGACGAAATTATTTGAAAAAACTGCCGCTGAGATCAGCTTTTAATTACCAGTTCATAGTGAATGACACAGTTTCATGCAAGTTTATGCTTAGATATCATTTTAATTGCTAGTAAATTGCGTTTCAAAAATAAACGTCTCTTAGTTGTATTATACTAGCACACATTGCAACATTAAAAAGACTTATTTATACAAGATGAGGTGATTTAGAAGATGTATAGTTTAATAAAACTAAAACTCATAGTTCAGCGAAGAGTCTGTTTTCGGCGAATTCATTTTCTTAGATGTACAACAGCAAATATATGCGGGTTATTTTGTACGTATGTAAGTTTGTCAAACAACATTACAACTGATTCATTATAAATTATTCAAATTAATCCCAGTGTTGATTGAACCAAAGTGCTCAGTCTCAGGTTAACATGTCGGCTTCTTGTGCAGATGCTTCGACGATGTCTGAGCATTTAATTAGTATACAATTAGTGGATGGTGGCTAGCAGTGGAATCCAGGATGCGCATTTCGTCCTGTTTGGGACTCGTCAACTGGATGTACCTGTATTTCTAAGTGAGTGATGATGTTCCCACCAAGGCTCGAACCCAGTGCCCGTAGTTTCAAACGCCAAAGCGTTATCCACTAGACCACTTGGGCAACTAGTTGAGTTGTACTCAGGATACACATAGGAGCAAAGTAGAGAATACAAAAACACATAATAGTTCTAAATGAATACAAGAACCATAGACAATTAAAGAAACAGACAAACAAACAAAATTAAATCATCGAAAATCAACAAAGTTGTTACCATGATAGTAGAAGTGGTCGAGTAATTCTCTTTTAATAAAAACAAAACACGTAGATCAGAGAAGAGTCTGTTTCCGGCGAATTCATTTTCTTAGATGTACAATCGCAAATATATGTGTTATTTTGTACGTATGTGTACATTAAGTTTGTCAAACAAAATTACAATTGGTTAAGGTTATTTTTCCTAAACAGGTGAAGATTGGTAATGCAAGTCAAGAAAATTACGTGTTATTGGAATTAGGGTTGTATGCACAGCTCCGGTTTTTTTATGTGAATGATCAGAGCTTCACCGATACAAAGAAGACGAAACCGCATTGTCTTTGGTAGGTTATTCTTGACTCTGTAGATTACTTTGAAGTAGGCGGTTTGCTGAAATGGAATGATCAGTGCTAACCAGGTGTCCAGTCATCCCACTCCTTATCCCACCACTATTGCCATTTTGCAACCATGGCGGATAGTGTTCTTGAATCCTCTTGGACAGGGTGCGCGTCGAACAACCGATGTAGCTGGCTCCGCAGCAGCGGGTGAACTGATATATTCACACAGAAGTGGTCAGATGTGGTATCTTGCCCTTGAGGCTTCTGCAGATCAGTGTGTGACTGAATAACACTATTCTTAGCGTTGTTGCAAAGAATTTTCTTCTCACAGACGATATGATCCTTCTGCTGAGAATATCGCTTGTTAAATCTCCCTTGAAATCCAAGTTCATGGAGAGTTTATTTTTTTGCGCAATTGGCGTTTCATTTCTCCAAATCCTTGGTTTGATACTTTTGTCAATGAATCTTCGTGGGTATTCATTTTGAATGGAGATTTCTCTCAAAAGACTTAATTTTGTTTCTAGACTTTACAGTTCAGGTGAGGCTTTTTTCAGTCTCCTTACATACATATGGATGATCTACTTTCATTCTAGGCATTTCTTTCCTGTAGCAACTACTGTGAAAAAAAAGCAGTATTTAGTGAATTCATAAATTTCTGCAGAAGGGCTCGTCATCTGAATACCATCCTACAAACATTGTTATTTATACAATTTAAGATATACACATATACAAACACATGAACATCGTGATAACGAAAAATAAGTATCAATTTGAACAAATATACTAAGTAAAAGTTTTTTGGGAGATTATCTGTTATCGTCATTATTACGTGAATAATATTCATCAGAGCTTATATTAACATAAAAATTGGTGTTATTGTGGTAGAACTGATACAATTATAAACATCTAGATATGATGATAATAATAATAATATTGAAATACAAAGAAACTTCGTAAAAAACAAATAAATAAATTTAACATATGTAAACCATATAGGATGAAATAACAAGATTTTAACATATCTGATGTAAACTCATAAAATTGTTTGAACACTCCTCATCAAGATCATCAATACTCAACTATGATTTCCGATTTGCACATATCCTAAGAAAACTACCAGTTGATCAGATAAAAGTAATGCAAAAAGCATTGTAAAGAGAAGAAGGAAAGGAAGGGAAATTATGAAGGCATGATAAAAGTAGGCTATGAGAATAGCTTTAAGCTAACTACTGTCTCCTTTTGCATACGAAGATCCGGTCTCCTTAATCTGATTAGGCAGAGTTCAGTGAAACCAAGAGCTTTTTTTGTTAACTTGCTTATTAACAACTATAAAGCTTTTACTCAACGTCACCGTAAGATCACAATCCAATAAGTGTCGCATGATTGAGTGTTCCTTGGGATATCATCATGAATACTTAAAAGCCATTTGCAGCAGACTTCTGCAACGCGAGCCGAAAGACATCTTTCCGTACGCCCAATGTATCTGCTTCCACAAACACATGTAAATTGATAGACACACTTTGATGTGGCGAGGATCGATATCTTATTTCTACCTGTTGCTTGCACTATCCTCTTTGTTGTGTTCATGAACAAAAACATCAGCTGCATAACAGGTTGGTTTAATGGCTTCCTCCAAACAACGTCTCACCAATTGAGTGACATTATCTTCCTTGAAAGGTGACTTTATATATATGTATTGAACATTAGAAAAACTGTATGTGTGTAGCGTAATCAGCTGAATAGTCCTTCTACCAAAATTTATAAATTCATTAAATCCTGTTTTTTTCCCACAGTTCCTGCTTATTTTAAATTTCACTGATGATAGCTTTAAAAGACACGAGTAGCATTTTCAAAGTCTCCATGACACAAAATAGTCGTTCAGACAATGATTAGCTGTCCCCAAAGGTGTTTCTTTCAGCGTTTATTTGTATTCCTTGATGAATCACCTTCTTACCTTGATGGACAAAATAGCTTTATGTAAACACCTATGTTCACCGTGACCTGAACAAAATCCCTTTGCAAGTCACCTGACACTTTGACAGTTTCCTCTGTTTTGCATAATAAGAATATGGCTGCAATAGAATTTGTTACTGCAGTCACTCACACGGTAGAAAAGGATATAACATATCATATTTCAGCTGTCATTTTCGGCAGTGAATACTTATTGATTACAGAATTATTTTTCATAGGTGGTGTAATCCGACTCCTAAATAAGAAATAAGGCCTTTATTTGTTTTTGGGGTACATAGAAATATATATATATATGTATATATACATGTAAAACCTGAGTGGAAATCCCCTCTGAAAGATTTGGTAGAATTTAGCCAGGTATCACTACTGTAACATGTTATTCATTTTAACTGGTGAACTATTAAAGTTCCAGTCCTTTTATTAGTCGTTTTATTATTTTTTTGTTGGGGCTGAGTGAAAATAGAACATATTCACATTACAGAACAAAAAAGGACTAATGGAAAACCTGGGACTATTGAGCAGCTGTTTTGTCCCATTTTGGGAATCTTCATCAGTCCGCAACCGTCACAGGGATGCGTGGATCAAATCCCCGCAAATCAATCTGAGGCTCACTAGAGACTGGCCCTATACAGGCAAGTAGTTACCTTGGTTCCAATGGCAAGTTGTGACTAATGGTGTTCAACAGGTCAGGTGCAAAGACAAATACTCTCCAAGGATGAAACTGGCTAGTGGTTGCGTTATATCATAAGTTGGCAGAAGTTGGAATTCATGGGCTGGCCAATGGATTGGGTCCCAGTGGCTTGGTGGTTTGGTCAACAAACTCTACTTGTAACGAGGTATACCTGGGTTCGAACGCCTATGGTGGGTGCGTAGTGTTGAAGAGTCCCAAACCAGGCTGGAGAAACAGATGTCTAGTAATCCCCTGACGGTTTCCAACGGTTTTCTGACCGATGCTAGCTCATGATGAAATCCTGAAACCAATCAAATCCTTACAGACCAAGACTTCAAAAAAGGAATACTAAATTACGACTGATGGTATTCAACCTATTTCTAAGCTAATGATATATATATATATGTATATATATTGTGCGTCGGTGGCATGGCGGTTAGGACGTTCGCCGACCATGCACATGGTCTGGGGTAACTATCCACGGCCAACACACTCCTTTACCTCGCTAAGCCAGAAATAACGCTGGTAAAGAGGGAAGGTTTGGCATGAGGCTAGCAACCCCATCCAGTAAAAATTGAACACTGCTATAGCAACTTCAAGCCAATAGCTTGAGGCCCTGTGTTCCACTGGGAAAGTGAAGGAAAATATATATATATATAAATTTTGCTCACAACCCTGATGCGTTTGAACAGATTTCCAGCGGATGTCATCAGGTAGATCATTTTAAAACTGCAAAAAAATGCTTACTCATTTTTCAAGTATTTGGAAAGCGCATAAAGGTGTAGGCGGTTAGATTGAATTTTATGACGAATAACGACGATCATGGTCATCCACCACTGGCTATTATTGTTATTCATAAACTGTAAGATTACACTTCCGTCTACACTTAACCCTGATGTATATTTCATGCAGATGCTTTGATTAAACCACACCAGTTATATTGAAATTCGTGTTGAATTTTATACAATATGCAAATTAGTTGGCAATGTGCAATTTTACCATGCTTTCTTTTGGAAACCAATATTATTAAAATCACAGTATGCGATCTGCTTCATGCCATAAGCAGCAATCGAGAAGGCGTGCATCAATACATGATACTCTACATTTACTGAGTCATTGATATCAGTAGTTGCCTACGATCCACGCCAACAATTAGTGCTTGCTAACCAGATAGTAGAAGTGATCTAAACACCGGACGACTGTTTTGCTTATTCGAGGTTGATATCACTAGCCATACATCTGGTTTGACTCACCTCAATGAGCCAAATGAGTCCAAATCACCCGAACTCTGGTTAGCTGCTAATAACTAATAACCTGAGCAGGAACATTCATTTGTATGACTAGTGAAACGAATCTTGTATACTCAAACAAACAAAAAGAAATACCTGGGAGTACTGGACAGCTGTTTCGTCCTGGTTTGGGACTCTTCGGCAGTACGCACCCACCGAGGTTCGAAACCAGAATCTTCTGGTTACAAGGCAAGCTAGTAGACCATTAAGCCACAGGGATCCAATCGAATCGCCCATGAATTTTAACTTCTGCCAATTCACGATATAGCGCAACCGCTAGCCAATGTCTTCGGCGAGTATTTGTCCTCACACCCGACCTGATGCACCCCGAGTTCGAACCCCGGTGGGTGAGTACTGCTGAAGAGTCCCAAACTAAGACGAAACAGCTGTCCAGTACTCTCAGGTTTTTCCAATGGTTCTCTAACCAATGTTAGCTCATGATGAAATCCTGTAACCAATCAACCAAATCCCTACAACCCAATACTTGAAACCAAAAAGAAATTGACTTGTAGGTTCATTGACGAGGGTAGCATGTAACCAGTTTATAAGAGATGAAAATTAGTCACTGTTATAGCATTAGATAATTGATTTTTAAAAGCTTTCATCAACTTATAACAGAGTTATACAAATTTTTCTCCATCTCTTTTTAAATATTTGCTTGACTGACTAACTGGCTGGTTTCAACATAGAACTTTGCACACGCCATGTAGAACAAACACGAAGAGAAAAGAGATTAAACAGGACAGTAATAAGCAGAAAGGTGAAGGAGGGAGAATATCAACATGGAAAAACAAGAAGGTTTAATGGATATGCCTCCTTGGGTGGCTCAAACCAACGACCAAACACTTCATGGACTGACGCCATGCATCCGTTTGACAATGCCGAACGCTTTCCCAACTCAATCCTTTTGTCAGACGACATCACCCGACATGGAACACGATGGAGGACTGGAACTACATAGACTTCAATCCAGCTTCACAACCTCATCGACTGACTTCCTCTCCTTACCTAACACTCTACGTCCAACTTCAATATTAATCACCCTATTATATCATCTAACAAGGGAGAAAGAACGCAGGCACCTATGATTAAAGACAGGTAATCTTTCATTTCTTCCACTTTCAATGGCCAGGTCTTACAGCTAGGAAGGAAGACGAAGCGGACTGATGAGCAGTACACACGTCCTTTTGTAGACAGTCGGACACCACGTCTACGCCAGAAATGGTGTAGGTTGGCGAATGCCACGCGTGCCTTTTAAATCTGTGATGAGATTTCGTCGGCAATCAGCCCGTTGGGGCTGATGAAACTTCCGGAATAAGTGAAGTGGTCAACACTCTGTACCACTTCACCATTTGCTTACTGTAGTCCTACAGGCATTTAGCTATTTTTTGGAAAGAATACTCATAAATGTAGACGTTAACATCTGAAACGAGTCAGTTTATTATATAATAATCCTTAGTACCGACAGACTGTATTCAGTTCTCTGATTGAATCTAACCACCTTAAATTCTAGACGAAGCCTGCTACCACTACAGTAACTGTTTTTCTAAAGACCCATCTTCAAGTGGGCATGCTGCCTATCCGATGTGTTTGTTTAGCACGGTGTTGTAGTTATCAAATAAAATGCTGTCGTTACATTTTGTGTGCAGCTTATTTGACAATAGCTGTTTGAGCAGTAAGTAATATATGCTACCCTGCATTATTTTTTACATAAACAAATTTCCAACACATCCCAAGGTTTTACTATCTGATGTCCATTTAAGTCAAGGAAGTAGGATGAACCTTGATGCTCATATTCTATTGTGAATTTGATATTCCAATTTTCGTTTACTATTCTGATGAGTTATGCAACTAAACTAAACAAACATCTCACCAACAGATGAATGGCATATAATTTGTTTTCATAGATAACAGACACATAGACACACAAAGGCACAAGCTGTGTTTGGTGAGACACAGTGTTTGTAAGCACCGATTTATGATATTCACTGATACAAAAAGAAAGCTAGCAAACAAAAAATGTGATTCTGTCAACAACAAAAAAAAAACAGTTTTCAGATACACTGGCTGATTGACTACTTTCCAATTGAACTTACAGGTGTTTATTAAATTAATTTAATTATTGGTCTTTTTAAGCTCTAAGCGGAACAGGTATTCAGTACTCTTTGAGGTGAGTAATATTTTTATCAATAATTCCAGAGTTACATCTGTAAAATTTCTACCTAGAACACATGATCAATTTTCTTCGCGAATTACCATCAGTGAGAGAACTAGTGAAAACTAATAAGCGTCAGGCAGTAATCTTATTTTGGTCGGCCACTTTACAGCGGTGAGCACTGCGGACAAGGCGATGGTACACACCTAGGATACAGGGCTAGTAATTTAAGTTTGGTGGTCACAACAAATGTAATGGCAATCACTTTCACTTTTCCCATTTATTACCTAAGTACGATAACAGTGTATGGAGGTCAGAAATGGAGTAGTGTAAAAGGGATAAGTTTTAGATGACATGGCAGTCCATACCATAAAGTACGTCTTTATACTTTTGTAGTTATTCTTATCCTAAGAAAGTATAAATCAGTATGACTAACTTCACACATGAAAAAATATTTTCATCTTGGCAAACACAAATAAAGATATGGCATATAATTAAAATACACACACTACTCCATGCAGTAATCTCCTTACCTGCACTAACAAGGTGTTCTTCTGTTGGAAAACGTAGGCGAGCTCGAGATGAGATGGCACGTAAAGCAATACAGTAAGAAAGATTGACGTAGCGGACAATATTTCGTCTAATTCTTGTAGGGCGTTCAGCGTTCCCATGACAAAACGCAGTTAGAAACAATGCTAGGCGATCAGGCCACGGTAAAGATAAGAATTGTTCCCACCAACGTTGAACAATTAACGAGACGTAGAAACCAAGGACAAACGCCACAGGAACTGTTTCATTGTACTTACCGCAATAGATGCACAGTATTTCAAAACCCCTATTTGTAGTGAATAAAGAGAAAAATAAGAGTGAAACAAAGCAAGAATTTGCACCACAAACCATCGAATTAACTTCATTCTGCGCATAAATTAGTTGCAATACTAACTCTGCTCAAAATACTACAAATAACCATCAATAAATTATTATTGATAAGCCTAATATAAGTGCTGATTTTCGTGAGTCACTATCTCATGATAAAATATTTAGGCATTTCAACCTACAAATGTTTATTTCAGTAGAATCGCAGATATACTGGAATGCAGTTGCTTGGATTGGATAATATTCTAAATTAAATTAAATCGGCTTTATGGATTCCATTCTTAGTCACCAACGAGCACATGAAATCACAGTATAAATAATGATTCATAGGAATGTTCTTATCCCACGAATTACTCGTAAAGTCATAATAAGATCACAGGATTCCAGTTGTCTATGAGTAACTATTTCGAAATTCAGTGTACATCTGCAAATCGCTAATTGAGTTTAAAGTTAAAAATTTGAACAGCTGGCTGAACTTCAACTTGCCACACTTTATACAGCACACTAAGACAGGGAAAGAGAAAAAAGCTCGAGAGAACTACATTACGGTGTAAAGAATAGTTACATGGAAACTAATGAGGATTAAATGCGTTTGGTAGACTACAAAGAAGGGATGTATCTGTGCCACTGGTAGAGATTTTGGATCACATCAACACCGGTCTCAAGCTATTGGTTCTTAACATTCCCCAGCCATCTCAGTCGATGTAACTTCACAACTCCATTGACTAACTAGTCCTCCATACCCAACACTACGCCCAAACTCAGTATTACTCAACATATTATATTTATCTATACGCGAGATGGGACGCAAGCATCGGTGGACAGCTAATCTTTCCAAATCTTCCACTCGCCGTTATGAATAAGAGCAGGATGAACTGCAGCGCAGTGTACACGTCCTTTGTTTGATAGCTGGATATCACATCTTCCCAAGAAGTGACTTAGGCTGATTAATGTCACACGAGCCATTTGTATCCACGCTGAGACAATCAGTCACATCAGGCTGATGGAACTTCCCAAATAAGTGAAGTATTGAAGACTCTCAACCACCTTATTGCCTATCTTGGAACTGAAAGTCGAAACTCTTTTCACTGACAGATATTGTCATAGCAGCTCTCAGAGGAAGACACACTCAGTACACTCTGTTCCAGGTTTAAAGCCTGTCTGGTTTTCACGCTTTTAATTCTGCTAAGCACCACACATGGCTGTTGAAGCTGAAACTTTGGACACTGTCAGTCAAGTTTATCTCTTGATGATTACCACACGAAGACTTGTTTGCTTTTTTATAAACTGGAACAGTCAATAATTTACACCGAGCCATTTCAAATTCTTACACATCACCTAATACCAGACATTTCATTACCAGATCCCTTAGACGCCTCCAGAGTAATTCTACCAAATCTCGCTGCTTTGCCTCGTCTTAGACTAGAGACACCAACTGCAGCCTCAGATATAGTAAGAAGACTGATGCCTACCCTCTATTCAAGCAGATATTTTGATGCTTGTCAAATTTAGCGTGGCTCCTCAAAGCCTTTCCTCTAAAGTCCCATTCTTCTATCTCGAAAGTAATTAAAATGCCGTTGTTCTTAAAAGTCGTTTTTCAGTGTATATCAGGACAAAAAATGTTTCTTTCAAACAATACAATCCGTTTTCTTAGGTTAAAATAATACTAGTTGCTACTATTTGCAGAAGCAACTTGAATATGGAGAGAAAACCTTGAATAATGTATGCTGATTGGCTTGGAAATCATTTTGCTAAATATGCGTTAACCGAATTTCTTCAATGTTATGCACTTAGGTTAAATGCAAAATTTCTACCTTAACGAAGAATAATGTATACAGAGCATAAAGCGAAAGGCTATAGTAACAAATTTCACAAAGCTAAATCGAATGAATTTGCTCGAACTTAAGGTTAGGAGCGTGGCTTAGATACCTGTTATAAAAGTTTATTCTCTTCTGGTTTTTCACTCCAAGCAAAAACATGTCTTACGACCATGTAGTGAAAAAACGCGTGGTTGTGAAGTGGACTTATTCCACAAAAGAATCAAACATTGCTGGCAACACAAAATATGGATTGACAAATTCTAATTGGGTCTTAACACTGAGAAAACCTACACTGATGTTCAGCTTAGTTCCGAATATTGGCAGTGAATAAGATGACAAAACTGTATGAATAATACTGTCGATAACGAATTAGAGTAAGTGGCAAAGGATGAAAAGGATTGATAGGCTTCACCTGCCAAGTAATAACAGACAATAACACTGTTTTGTTGTGATACGTTTAATATTCGATTATAGTCCACTGAAGTGTTTGAGTTCAAATTCAACATAAATAATGTCTAGATATATCTCGTGCACTGCTGATAATAATCACACACACACACAGATTCTTTGCAAGATAACTGGTGTTTGTGAAACTGCAGTTATTCTTAAAGTAATAACCACCAGTGTCTACGAGCTACAGTGGTAGGTAGAAAAAAGACCTTTTGAGGTTAACAATTTTTAAACTCCATCTTCGACAATGGAAAATACAATGTGACTAAAGTGTTGATTGCTCCAGTAAAACACTGAACTTCCTTCCCACTTCTTCCCGCACTTCTTTACAAGTTTGATATATTGATACTCTACAAGTAATGGAACTGCCTCAAAGTGTACATCCTATTGATATTCTGCTAAAAACATTGCTTTAAAACGAAACTTCTATGAAAAATACGGGCAAAAGTACTTAAATTGTCCGGCATTTTACGTTTAGCCTTTCACTTGAAGAGAAATGAAGCGAACACGTTTTATGAATCGACAAATATGGGTGTAAAATGCTACGCCCTTTACCCAGTTTCATCAATAGTGCTTTTTCCTTGAATGTGTAATAATAATAAAATACTTATTTCCAGAATATTTGACAGCGAGAAGTCAACTCACTGCTAATATCTGTAATAATAAAACGACTAATATACACCTAGTTAACCCACAAATACTGTTCGACATTGAGTACGTCTCACCATAAATTTCTTTCAATTAATCCTGACAAGATAATACATAAAACATAATGCTTGATGTAAATATACCACTGCGCACTTCTATCGTCAAAATTTTCAAATCAGTAGATCCTTCAGAACTAATAAAAAACATTTTTGCTTTGAAGTATCTTATCCAAATTGAAATAGATGCATTTTTGTGGAGGGTTATACACTAATTACTTTAGGCCCGACCCCTTAAAAATGAGAAAAATATCTCAAAATAAACAGAGGATTTATCCTTATAAATATTTCCCTTAAAATATGAAGATATATACTCCATTAGTCCGAAAATCACCTTAGGCGAGAAAGACAAGTGATATATACCTGGTGAAGAATGTGCTGACTATAAATCCTAGTTATGCCAGGCCACAAGACTTATGCAAACTAACCTCCAGTTGACTGTTACTGTGTAGTAGCACAAAAGCTCGCTAATATCAACAAGTTAGAATTTGGTAAATTAACTGATGAGAATCATGCACAACAGGGCGAAATCATATCACACTACAACAGTGATAAATGGACATAAAACTTTCCAAAGTAAAAACACTAACACTTTTTGTCGTAGTCAGGTTTCTCAGAGACGAAGTATTATATTAACAGTTGTCTTTAGTATTTCAATTCACCAATTTTTATTTAATTACAATGATGACTGGCTAATATTAGTAAAAATCAAATTAAACTTGAGAAATAAGCTAAAAGTGGCTTCGGAATACATTTTTGCATGCGAAAAATCTGTCCTATGAGTAAAGGTGAATGCCTTGGAGAATACTTAGTTTTCAGTCATATGCAAGCTTCGTTAAGTTTCCGCATCGAGATTCCTACTGAGTGAAATGCGTTGCAGGCAATTCTAGAACGAAATCAAAAATATATATGAAACCTGAAGAAATTGAATATAGCTGTGCGATTAGTAACGTAATGGTAATGAGAAATAAAACACTTGGAAAAACCTAATATTTCCATAGTTATCCTAAACACATCACTAACCAAAGAACTAGAGGACAAAAACAAACGAAACTCACGTTCTTAAGCTATCATTTAATATAAATCTGTATGTAATCGACAAAACGGCGTATATTCCAATAAAAACAAAAAATTCGAACCAAACCAGACGGTATACACTTCCCTTCCACCTGTTTGTCAGACATAAACAAAATTTATACGCATTACATAAACAACAGCCTTATGAAAGTCCAGTACTTAGCAGTCGCGACGATTGATGAGTATGAGACCGTCATGTCCACGGTAGTAGCAGGAATACACTGTACAAATCAAATCCGCTCGTCAAAATGACCTTGAGCTATTTAAAAAGTGATTTATTCTAACAACAATTGAATAATTTCACTTATACTACTTACACGGCTACTTTTACTTCGAATGTAACTTTATTCAGAATTTCCGCTTGAGAGCAAAGACCTTTCAATATCTCTTCTTTCTTTTTCTTGCGGTGCATATGCTTTTCTACTCCTAACTTGGTTTCAGATTCAGATTTATTGGTTGAGGATAGAAGGCTTGGAGCCTATGTTAATCCTTTTCTAGTAGATTTCTGTGGTTTTCTAAACCCTTCTTGAGGTCGCAGACACCACTTCTTCTGGGAGTCGTTTCCAAGAGTTTATGACTCTGTGTGAGAATCAGTACTCAACAGCAATATGATTTCTCCTTGGCTTTTGAACTCTCTAGCTATGTCCTCTAAGGTGTTCCGACGTGGTGGGAAGGAAAAGAGAGAATAGGTCAGGTCCGTAGTCATTATTTAAAATTTTAAACATTGTGATTAAATCTCCTCTCTGCCTACGGTATGACAGCGAGAAGGGATGTAAACTGTCTAGTCTGTCCTCGTATGATAATTTAGCTATGCCGTGAATCATACGTGTTGCCTTCCTTTGAACACTTTCTAGAATGTGTGAGTCCCCTTTCAGACAAGGACTGGCTGCCTGGATGCAGTTTCCCAGTCTTGACCTAACCAGAGATGTGTATAAGGAGGTGAACATATCTCTGGTAATTCTTGTAAAGGTTCTGCGAATTTCCCATAAGGACCTGAAACTACGTGCAGCCACCGCGGAACAGTGTGCTGTAGTTTTCAAGTCGTGGCTAACCATGACACCTAAGTCCAGGTGAGTCTGAACTGATGGAAGTCTTATTCCCTCTAATTCGTAGGAGCTTGTGCTTGATTGTCCAATGCGCATGGTTGCACATTTTGCCACATTGGTCGGGAGCATCCATTCAACGGACCACTCCGACAATTTGTTGAGGTCCTCTTGCAATGTGAACGTATCACTGTTGCCCTTCAGCTCTCTCCAAATTTTTAAGTCATCTGCGTATAGGACCATAGGGGAGTCGGTGAGCAGAGGTAACTCACTGATATACAGAATAAAAAGGAGAGGACCGAGAACCGTGCCTTGTGGCACTCCGCTACTTACTGCTGTCCAGGAGGAGAGTTTTGAGTTGATCCTAACCCTCTCTCTCCCATCTATGAGGAATTCCCTGAGCCAGTCTAGTAGTCTGCCTTTGATACCAAGACTTTCCGATTTCATGAGTAGTCTTTTGTGAGGTACTTTATCAAAGGCTTTGCTGAAGTCTATCAAGACGACGTCAACGGGTCTTCTGTTGTCCTTTGATTTGACCCAGCTTTCTCTTGCAGTCAGGAGATATGACAGGCAAGAGAGGTTCCTCCGGAAGCCATGCTGTGCTCCAGATAACAAGCTGCTATTTTCCAGATAAGTCATGATGCTTTTCTTGATAATTCTTTCCAGTGTCTTGATTAAAGTGCTGGTGAGACTGGTAGGCCTGTAATTTGAAAGGCTTTGTCTTGATCCTCCTTCGTGGATGGGGGTTACTATGGCGTCTTTCTAATCACGCGGCAGCACTCCATTTAGGAAAGGTAGCTTGAAGATCGTGGTCAAGGGGTCGGCTATGTGGGCTGATCGTAGTGGGATTTATCTGTCTGCTGCTCACCGGTGTGGCTGAGGCTTGTTTCGCCAGTTCCTGGGCGACTGGAGCTGTAGGTTTTCGACCCCCGGTACGCCTCTTCTTCGCAATAGTCCTTCCATTACTGTCACTGGAGGGCTTATCCAGTATCGTGGGGGCAACCTGGGTGTCTGGAATGTGGTGGGTGTTCTTCTGTGATGAAGGGCACTCACTCATTGACAGAAACGCATCAGGGACATGTGCCGTTTAGTCTATGACGCTAGTCACGTCATCGTTATCTGAGTCGGTATTTTTCTGTGGTGGAGGACGCTTGCAGTCCATGGGCTTTAAAGCCCCACTGAGAGTAGCAATGGCTTCTGTAAAACTGAGTTTAGTTGAACTACAGCAGTCGTTGCACAACCAGTTTGCTAGAGGTTTGCAGCAGCAATTGTATGCTGCAGTAGTAAGGTTCGTTTACATACTGTGAAACCGTCTCTTGCAGTTATTACACTGCATTCCCTCATCTGCTGGAAACTGGCACATAGCCCTTCCGCAGAGGTTTCTTTTGATAGGCATTTTATTTAAAACGAACCAGGAAAAAATCAAATGCAACTTCAAATATATATAACCTTTATAAATCAGTGATAAAAGCTAATGAGTGCACAAAGATAGATATATTTAGCTATTAAGTTAAAAGAACACAACTTCCTATAATTTAATAGTCTCAAATCTGAAACGTAAACTAACTTCTATCAGAATAAACTGATATGAAGTTAATCTGTGAACTTTTGGAGCGTAAAACACAACACAAGCCAATAATAAGCAAGAGCGTTGAAGACATCTTGATCAACTCTTACAGGTGAGATGAAGAGTTCATGGCCAAAACAAAATATCAGCACTCTGTCGGTATGTTGCGCATTTTTGTGTTTTTCTCAAGTGCCTTCCCAGCTGTTTCGACTAGTTAATTGAAGGAAAAAACTGGCATCCTGAACTCACAGTTTCTGAAATTTACCAGAATAAAAATACATCAATATTTCACAGGTGATTCTCTCATCCCCACTGCTAGCAGGCACTTCAATTTGAAAACACTTTGCGAAGCCCTATATATAGTGAACACATTTTTGCGTTATATTCGCATAATTTTGCCTAATTCCCAGAAAACTAGGCGAGGTAACATCAAAGTTCCTTTCCGTCAACTGTTTCTTACACGAAGTTACTTAATCGCAGTAGGACTGGAAAGTAATGTGTGCATGCTAAAACGTTCATCACACAAATACGCGAACTGTGAAATTCTGTCAAACATTTAGATATCCTAAGTTAAATTACTTGGCCTCCCAAGTCATTCATAGTAAGTCTAAAGATCCATATTGGCAGTCATGTGTATGTTCATTCTTCGAAATCCCACTTACTTGTTGAGATTAATTTTACTACAAGGGTTTTGACTAGCATGAGACATCTTACATTCCACTATGACTATAAGACTCACTGCATACCTATCTTGCTAGTAGAGACTTACCAGTTGTCCTAAACCATGGCGCTGTGTACACATCTTCCTGATTCGGAAGAAGAGTAATCTTCTCACACACTACTGACTCTGTTCCTTCAGTCAATGGCTAAAAATTCAACCACGTCAGTCAATGTCATGAACTCCACTGAAAACTTTGGTGGCATATATTGTGCGTCGGTGGCACAGTGGTTAGGACTCTCGCCGACCATGGACAGGGTCCGAGGTTCGAGCCCACGCCGACGAACACCTGATATCTATGGTTGGCCTGCGAATTTTGGGCTACCGATATCCACGCTGAAAATTCCATACTTGTACCAAAAATACAGTGTGGAGTCAAGCTGTAATCAAAAAAAAATAAATAAAAAAAAAATAAAAAAAAATAAAAAAATAAAAAATTAAAAAAAATATTACTACCTGTAATGATACGCATATGGCCTTCCCCTAGATTTTAAATCCCTGTGTACAGAAGGGTGGAGGGAGTTTCGTAAGTTCTGCTAATCCATTCGCAACAAGAGAACATGTCACTACGCAGTTCACTGTAACTTACAAGACAGGCGTTGAGATTTATTCTGTCTCTTACTAGACAGGATGGCACTTTCTAATGACGCCAACACCAAGTCTCTATACTGTTCAGAAACGGTGACTGACTTGGCTTTGGTCTTTAAAATTCGGATCTTGTTCCCCGCGTTGAATGATATTAGTGCATACACCGATTCTGCGTTAATGAATCGATCCTGCTTGCCTTTGAAATTCTCATCCATGCCCTCTGTATTTAAAACGACGCTGTCAAGATGAGTGAGTGACGCATTGATTTAGGTTATCTTCGTCGATGCTGATTGCTACCAGTTGTTGTTTGTCGAGCATTCTCATCACTTATGTTTTCTGCACGTTAACTTGAATCTGTGATTTTGCTGCCTCCTCTACTTGCTAGTTAGTCCTCGCCTGACAATCTTTGAGGTTCTAAGGTATAATGCATATATCATTTGCGAAATTCACATATTTTAGTGACTTTTCTGACACTTTATCTAGGCTGCATTCGCATATAATGTGATGTGTTGCGTTTCGGGCCTTATGACGACAATTTGCTGATCTTAAAAGGTTCTGTGCGGATTTATTTGTTATTTGGGACGAACTGGAGCCCTTGGTATACCGAATTTTGCGTAGGCTTAAGTCAAACTTCCTGCCCACTTCGAAAAGTCGGACTTTATATCCATATTCGCAATTCCTCTGCAGCACTGGCTCCGGTATGTCCACTGTTGCTGTCTTGTTGATAGCGATTTGGGCACTTAACCTGACAGTATGGTCTTCAGGCAATTAGCATACGGTATTGGATTTTTAGAGGTGTTGATTTTCACGTATTGTACAAAGTATAATAACGCAAAATCTAATACCCACAACTTCTATAGTATTCGTTCCATGTAGAACGAAGGCAAAGCAAAGCAATAGAATTGATCGGCCAAATTATGAAGTATGTTTCGGGACCAAATCGGAGTGTCAGATGATTGCTTAACTAGCTATGGATCGTGCACGAACGAACGTAACACTACGGCGTGCCAAATGGCGTGGATGCTTGACCGGAAGAATTCACCTAAACGAATCTGCTTAAACAGTGATGGTCAGCACCCAACGTTCGTTGATTAATACTGTGACCAATAATTCTGAGGAACTACCTACCTCTACAACTTTATCGATATAGGTCAGCACACACTTTTGACTGTAGAGTGCTTTTTCTTAATAGTTTTAAGGAATTGAATGTAGACTTAATATCTGTGGACATTTTCAAAATTCTCTGTGAATTATATAGCAGTCTGTTATGATGAAACGGTTGCAATTGGTTATTAATTTTTACTGTGTATTAGCAGATAAATTTGTTCTGTGTCAACATACCTGTTGATCGGAGACTCATTTGAGTGGCACAGGCTTCTGGGAATTCCTTGGAATTTTCAGTGTTTCCTCCGTCAAAGGTTCGTCCACTTTCGCAGT